GCCTTGCGAATGCCAGGCAACTCAACATACTAAGTTACCTCTCAGCTTTTTCCCCCCTAATTTTCACCATTATTCTTTTTGTTTTGTTTTGGGTCTGGACCCGATTTGTTGGGACCCCCAGAGTGGAATCTGCCTTAGGACTCGAGTTACTCCAGGACTTGCTGCCTAAAGCATTGTTAACAAATACAAGGCCTTTCACATTGTGGTCATTTAATAATCAGTGAATGAATGCTGCTCCCTTCCTTGCTGAAATGCCATGATCATATCTTTCACTCTCCTGATGAAATGAGGAATTTTGTCAATCATTCTCTGCAACTGGATTCCATTTTCTAGTTGATAACAAGTTTTTTGTATAGGTGCTTCTGGGTGTGGGTGGATAAGTTCATTGGGGGTTTTTGCTTGCGTGTGTGTGTGTGTGTGTGTGTGTGTGTGTGTGCGCGTGTGTGTGTGCGCGTGTGCGTGCGCGCACGTGTGTTTAATATCATATCCCACCCTTATTCTCTAGTTCACTTTTTAAGCATCTTACTCCCTCTCCCTCTTCACCCTCTCTCAACCCCCACCCAGAGTAATGGAAGAGTTTTCCAGAAGCTTCTCTGAATAATTTTCCTTTGTAAAATAATTTTCCTTTGAGTGGTGGTGGACTCAAGCTCCTCGCTCTGGAGACTGGAGGTGTAGGGTTGGTTGATATCCAGGGCCTCCAGTTGCTGGGAGAGGTGAACCGTGCGTGCTTTGAGTTATGAGGGCACCAGACACCATAATCACTTTATTCCATTCAGGCTCTGCCCCGACTCCTTTTTCATTTTTTTTTTTTTCAGCCCTAACTGGAACAAAATGCAATCAACATATGTACTTAATTTGACAAGGAGAAAGGGCCATAAACAAGTGTAAATTGTCACAACAGCAGCAGCTAACAGCCTTGATGTCTGCGGTAACAAAGAAGAGAGAGCAGTCTGCTTTGCACATCAAAGGGGACCGTCACATCCCTCAACTGAGGATGCGCATGAGATGTGGAAGAGGGTATCTGAAGCAGGAATCATTGCTTCCAGGGTGAGCAAAACATCCAGAATCCCCGTGGAGAGAGGGAGTTTGCCACTGAGTAGCAAGATAAATAATAAGAGCAGATCACTTTTTTTCCCTTTCTTTCTAGAGATGACATTGAAATTCCTGCATCAGTCAAGAGAGTTTGGAGGTCAGTTTTAACTAGCTTTGCTGCCAGGTCTTGGAGGCCTGGAGTGGGGGCCCCTGAACCCCAACTCCCTCCTGCTGAGTGTTTTCTCAATCCAAGGCCACTCCACTTTCCTCTGTGCATCATCCTTTCTCGGAGATGCAGTTTGTGTGTGACTCTCTAGATAGCCTTCGTGTGCGTGTGCATGTGCGTGTGTCTCCTTTGTGTGTATGCAGGAGGCATGGGTGTGCACCCATGGAGGCTAGAGGTCATTGGAGGGTACCTCCTTCTTTGACTCGCCACTCTTAGTGGTTGAGATGCCATCTCGCTGAACCTGGAGCTGACTGATGGGCTGGACTAGCTGGCCAGGAAGTCCCCTGGGATCCTCCTTTCTCCAATCCCAACTCTAGGATTACAGGTGCATGTAGCCATGCCTGCTTTTTTTATGCGGGCACTGAGACTCAAACTCAGGTCCTCATGCTTGCCCGAGCAGTTTACCTACTGAACCACCTCCCAGCTCTAAATAGCTTTCTGACATCTTTCTTTCTTTCCTTGGGGGATGTTCTGTAAGGCAAATGTGTTAATAAATAAAACACTGATTGG